CCACCACCACCACCACCACCACCACCACCTTCCAAGCCTCGTATTTTGCATGGATTTTGTGTAAATCAGTGAAGAGTGAGGGGATGGGGAGCGAAAAGCAGGGACTGAAGCACTCTGCACTTTTGTGCTCTCTATGAACTGTGAGTGAGCTAATAAATTCTTTCAGCCACTCAGCATAGCATTCACAGATATCCCCCAAAGATTACACACACAAATCACCGCACAATAGAGGCCACCGGGAGGGTCTGGGCGTCACTGGGGCCCCCGACCCTGGGGACAGGCGCACATAAACAGGCTGCAGAAGACCTGGCAAAGTCTGATTTGCAGAGGAGATGCTGCTAAACCCTGAGTCAAATGCTTCCTAATGATTGGTAAAAGTATATGTTTTAAAGGTGTGTAGTGAAATAGAAGCAAGAGTGAGAGAAAAGCAAAGAAGTGAAAGGGAAGATGAACGTCAAATTTAAAAAAAAAAAAAAAGGGGGGGGGGACAGTGGGAGAACTAAAACAGGCAGGGGGTTATGGATGTATAGAGACTGTGTGTTGGGGATGATGAAGATGACCAAGGGGGGTGATTCCAACCCCACACAGCCAAGCACAAGCCAAGCAGGGACATAATTAACTCCTGGATCTTTTGTGTTTATCATCTGACTGCAGGGCGGAGATGAAAGGGGCCTGCTAAGCTTGGCATTCCACCCCAATTATAAGAAGAATGGCAAGCTCTACGTCTCCTACACCACCAACCAAGAGCGCTGGGCCATCGGACCACACGACCACATTCTCCGTGTAGTTGAATACACCGTTTCGAGGTAATGGGAGAAGTAGTGCACCAAACCACTGCCTGAAATGACACCATAAGGGTACATAAAAGGTCGAGGTTAATAGAGACTGGATATGCAAACTTATTTTAAGACATCTTTAGCACATGAATGCAAAACAGTTTTCATTTTAGACAACTGTGATTTGTAGTACTGTACCTATGAAATGTGGTGAACATTCCCATTTCCCATTGTTTTTAATTTTATTTAAATTCTAAACACTATCCGGTTGTTCAGTGATGACACGACGAATCCTACTTCCGGGCCTAAAGTAGTCTGCGTTTAATATGGCTTTTGTGTTGTTAACATGTTTAATGTTATGTATTTTCTTCTATTTAATCTCAAAAAGCTGCTAAAACAGTCAGTGATCACCGTTGACCTCCCTCGGCTTTTATTACCGCTAATCATTTATTTAAACTCAGTTTTTAAAACCTTAGAATGTAACTACAGCCCAGCCCATGCAGCAGTATATGAATGACTAACCTCGTATTATGGATGGATAACAATTGTCCTCCTGGCTGAAGTTTGGTCCTTTTACAGCATCCTGCCATGCGATTACATTTGTTCCTGACCACCGAGAACACTCACGTTAACTTTTATCGAGTGGAAAAAAAGTTAGCTTGTTTATATTATGCTAACATAGCTGTGTCGCTAGCGGTCACGTAGCACATCATTATATACCAGCTAGCCCAACTTCAGTAACCCTAAAAACGTCACTGCTTTTTAGTTTTCTGTCTTCATTTATGCTGGAAGTGATAACAGAGCTGTACGTTTTAATTTGTTTCCAAAACCCCGCAGTCAGGACATGCTATATTGTATTTAGATAGCAGGGAGTTAGCTCGCTAGCTTCTAACTTCTAACTCCGTTAAATGTCATAAATTCTGTTTTCATGGATGCCTGGATGTTAAACTCAATAGTTACACCTGGTAGAGCAGAACGCTGATCATTTTTATTAAAGATGAAAGACTTTAGACAGTTTTTCAACTCTCAGTAATACCATAGTGATCGTTTGATATATGGACCTGCAGCGGAGTTTAGGTCCAGACACGGCTAGTGACGTCAGACTGAACAACCGGATAAAAAGGACAAACTTTTCTCATATGGAAGTTTCTGATTACTGAATTGTGGATCTTTTGATTATACCACTAATAAATCCAACCTGCTAACCTCAATTTCTGCAAGAAACCATGGTAACAAAACCTTCAAAGGCACACTGAGGATTCTTCTAGACATGCAAAGAAATCAAAACAGATAATTTTTGTCTTTTGAGGATTTAGAAAGTAGGTCAAATCGCCAAGAAAAGTGTTTTGATAAGATGTGCAACGCTCTCATTATCATAACAGTGTTTTGCCTTTTCCTGTGTCTGTACCTTACACTCCCTTCACAATGACCTGTGATTAAGAAAACAATCTTTTCTCACGAACATGTTTAAGTGTTACATTTTAATTTTCATAATCACAGTTGTATGTTTAACTTAATGATCTAATCTTAATTATAATCTTGGCATGCAGTCTTGGTAACTGCAGCACATAGTCCTTAATTTGAGGGTCCAATAGAGAAATGGTAGTTAAAGTACTTAATGGTAGCTTAAAATACTTTTTTTTTTTTTTACTTTAGGCTTTTTAAAAATTGCACGACTACCCAAAACAACGCAACTTGCCATATTAGTTGCTGATACTGTGAAACTAAATTCTCATTTTGCACTTCACTTGAAATTGTGCAACATTTTGCACCCTGTCTTTACATCTCCACCCACTGTCTTTGGCGATACATTAGATTAAGACTAAATGTCTGCAGAAAACAAAGTATTTAAAGTAATTTAATGTTGGATTTTGTTCCGCGTGTCATGTCAGCATATCTTATCCATGCCTTGGTGTCATTGTACCCATTAACAGAGTCATTATTTGAAGCAAACAGACAATCCATGGTGATAGTGCATGTAAAACATGCACTATCACCATGAGCTTTTCACATGTGAAAACATGAACGCTGAATTGAATGGCCTTTAACCTGCCAGCTCCCCATTAACAGTCTGTGTGATATAAAGTTGCACCAAATTAGTGAAGAAAAAAGCAGATAACAGTTCAGAAAATTCATTTACAAAAAGCATTATCTTTTATTGTATATTTTAAAACACTATATGACCATATGTCTGTGGCTTTTACATCAGTCAGAATGACCTTTTTGGCCATTTGTCCACTTTCAGATATCATACATTTGAAGCCAGACCCCTTTAAAAATAAGGGAGCAGACAAAAGTCCCCTTATTTATTTATAAGACAGCGTAAAAGCATCAAGGTATAGAAATGTTGTGGGTACTCCTTATAAATGCCGTTTAGCAAACATATTTTTTGCATTTGCAATTTTTTATGATTTTCTCAGGAAAAACCCAAACCAGGTAGACACAAGGACAGTCCGAGTACTAATGGAAGTGGCGGAGCTGCATAGGAAGCACCTTGGGGGCCAACTTCTTTTTAGTCCTGATGGTCTGTTGCACATCATCCTGGGAGATGGCATGATCACTTTGGATGATATGGAAGAAATGGATGGACTGAGGTAAGATCAAAAGTCCAAGGGTCATTTTATTGATGTTTATATACTGCTTTGTGCTCCATGTTTCAATCGTGACCTACCGTGTACAATTTTGAATGCGTGTTCTTGTTTTTGCTTGCAGTGATTTCACGGGGTCTGTGCTAAGGGTCGACATAGACACAGATAGTTGTGCTTCTCCATATTCCATACCACGGAGCAATCCTTACTTCAACAGCACCAACCAGCCACCTGAAATCTTTGCACATGGCTTACATGATCCAGGCAGGTAAGTGAAACACTGCACTCTTTAAAGATTCTTGCTATGACTGATTTGCAATTTTCAAATGTAGAAATTCTGCTCATACTATAGGGTATTTTCATTACTGCTCTTGTAGAAAATATGAACTTAGCACAAACAGTAAGGCATTTTGTGTTGGGTCGATTGTTTCTCTGTTGTTAACAATGCTTCCCGGCAATAAATCTTATGCAGTTGGAAAGCCTGTTTATTTCCTCTTATATGGTGACACAAGTAAAATCCATTTACAGGTTGAACAACAGAGTTTGATATATGATCTGCACCCATGAAAACTTCTTCCTTTTTAAAACAGTGTTTTTCCTTCCCACTGTTCCCAAGAGCTTGATCAAAAGCTCTCATTTGATTGGTGGGATTTTCTCTGTATTATTGTAGGGTCTCTACCTTAGTATATAGTATGTCAGTATAAAGTATGTTGTGGTGACTGCTGTTGTCATTTGATGCTATATAGAACTATACACAGCCACAACAGCTGGTCACCAGCTTGGTCACACTCCTGTGTGATGGCATCAACCTGGACTTACTGCTAAATGTCACGTTCCTCCACATGTTCAGGTTCCTGTGCACATGTTGCTGATGCCAGCAGTGGAAGGCAGTCATGGCAGCCCTGTGAGACTGGAGACTAGCTGTATGCAGACTGTTCAGGGTTGTCTTGGTAGAAAGCTGTTGGCCGTGTCATCTTGCAAACCTTGACTGTAGTTTTGTAGAAGACTGCCTATGATTCACCAGTGCTGAGAGTGAGGAAACAACCTGACGGAGACGCCTACCTTGTAGCCTGTCTCTGGCATTGCCCAATTTATGAAACTTCACTTTGGAGGTGGCAGTAGGCCTCCCTCCAAATAATGCAGCAGCTTGGTTTTTGCTTAACATCAGCTGGAAGTAGCCCTATGGGACAGCCCTATAAAGATCAGTCAAACATGGCCTGGGGCATACACCAACTGACCGGTGTACCACGGTCCGTGCTCATCTCAAGATGCTGCTAAACACTAGCCAGTCAGGCACCTGATTGTCAGCAACTAGGCTACTAGAAGTTCGAAACAAGACTCAATAGCAGAACAAGCTGTTCAGCACATGCTCAACTCTGGTGCTCAACCCAGAACAAATGTAGCACTAGCTTTAATGGGAAATAAACAAGCTTTCCAACGGTATAAAAGTTCTTACCAAGATGCATCGTTACAATAAAGAAATAGTCAACTGCATGCAAATTACCTTTTTGTGCTTGTGTTGTATTGCCACCTTTTATTTGTTTGGTGTTTGGATATTACTTCTAGTTATGTTATATTCATTCCTGGCACGCTGTGCTCTGTAGGTGTGCAGTAGATCGACTTCAGTCAGACAATGGGAGTCTTGTAATCCTCTGTACAGATGCCAGTGGCAGAAACACAACAGCAGGAAGAATACTGGAAATTACTAAGGGGGGCGATTATGGTGAGTTACAATTTCCATGAGAATTTCCAAAAATGTTCACAATATTTACCTTTTTCGCATGTTTGGAAGGAGTTTTAATATACCCAGTTGTGCACAGTCTTTGCTGGAGTTTTGTTTGATTGCATTACATCCTGAGAAAGAAGTGAAAATACATTAACATCCTGGATAACCTTTCACATTTATTTCCCTGAAAGTGACATGTGTTTTTATGAATGTCTTTCATTTTGTAAGAACAGTGTTTTGGCAACAGATTCAGAAACACACCAGGTTGAGTGCAGAAACAGTGAAGGTTAAATGTAAAAATGATGTGATCCAGAAATATTCCCCATTTGTGGTGTGTAGATTTGCCAGTGGAATGTAAGATGGTGTCCACAAGTAAGATTTAAAGCTGTCAACAATAATAACTGTCTAGATGATGGTTTGGCACTGTTGAAAACACAGCTGAGAGGAATCTAGCTCTTCTCACATTTAGAAAATAATCAATAACAGCAGCACTTTACACTGCTTATCCTTCCTTTTTCCACAAAAAGAAAATTACAGCTCTTTGTTCCAAAATATATGAGGCAGGTTATCCTTGCGCTAAGTTAATCCTTAACTTTGATCTCTCACTCCATTTGAAAATGTCACTTCTTGCCACAGACCACCTCTCTCTTGGCCTGATGCCCGATTTAGCCAGTTACCCAAACTCCAAAGTGATTACGGTTGGGAAATGAGCACACCCCGTCTCGGATCATAAATTTTTAAGGGCGGCAAACCTCCATTCATATTTTTCCTTGCCAAGAAATCGTAATCCAGTAAATGTGCCACATTGCCTCACCATTAGAGCAGGGCGATATGGCCAAAAATATTTATCACGATATATATTTGAAAAATTTGCGATAACGATATAACTGACGATATAATTGATGCGAGACAAAATACAACTCCACAACATTACTAGCGCAAAAAGACAACCTTCCATTTATTTTCACGTAAACAAGGAGCTGGTTTTTATGTACACTAAAGCTTTATAAAAATGTATCAGTGCAAATGCACATTCCTTGCTGAAAGTTTAACCCAAAGGCATTTCCAGTAGAAATGGGCTGACATATCCTGAGCATAACCATGTATAATATCCACTGAAGTTAAAAAGAGGTGCTTTGCAACATTAAACTGCAGTGTGCAGTACGCATTTTTCGGACCATAAGGTGTACGGGATTATAAGGCACATTAAGCGAAACAAAGCAGTCAGATAAATCAAACTTTATTAAACTCATTCTTCTTGCTTCCTCCACTTCTGTACCATTGATTCATTAATGTTGAATTCTCTGGCAGCTATCTATTCCCATGTTGTTGCAGTATATTAATGACTAACCTCGTATTGTGGATGGATTATCTCAGTTGTTCTCCTGACTGAAGATTGGTCCTTTTACAGCATCCTGCCATGCGATTGCATTTGTCTCTAACCATGAGGAACCTTCACGTTAACTTTTATAAGTGGAAAAGTGTTAGTGTTCGTCCTCCAGCTTCACTGTTATGTTATGCTAACATAGCTGTGTCGCTAGCGATCACGTAGCACATCATTATATACCAGCTAGCCCAACTTCAGTAACCCTACAAACGTCACCACTGTTTAGTTTCCTGTCTTCATTTATGTTGGACGTGATAGCAGTCAGAACGTGCTATATCATGCTTAGGTAACTAGCGAAACTAGCGAGCTAACTTCCGCTAGCTTCCTGCTAACTTCTAACTCCGTTAAATGTAATAACTTTTGTTTTCATGGATGCCTGGAAGTTAAACTTTATAGTTACACCTGGTAAAGCAGCAATGCTGATCGTTTTATTAAAGATGAAATAATTTAGACAGTTTTCAACTCTCAGTGATGCTGCAGTGTTGTTTGACCTGAAGTCAAATATACGGAGTTTGGGACCCAGATTACTCCCAGATTTAAGAGCATCTTAGTCCGACAAATACGACAATAACGACGGCCGCTTGCATGTTCTGCAAAAAAATGTGCTTTGTTGTGTATCTGATGGACAAACACCAAACCAGTTCCACATCATGGAAGTTGCACCATTTTTACAAACCAATTCTGGTTCCTCAACAATCAGCCATGTGCGTATGAAAACAAAGGCACTGCGCATGCGCGTTTTACTCCCATTCTATCGCGATATTTCATTTTCCTATCATTGACTAACATTATACCGGTATTACCGTGAACGGTATAATATGGCCCAGCCCTACTCACCATCACGCTTTTGAATAAAAGATCAATACATTCTTTTCCAGTTTTGATAAAACACGTCCGATTTAAATCTAGAATTCCCTCTTTCCTCCTTTTTTGTGTCTCATATAAACAACACAGCAATTATGTCTGATGAACGTGGTCTATGTTTTTGATTCCAAAACAAACAAAACAACACCAGTGCATGAATCAAGAAAAGCAGTTAAGTAGATTACAATCCCTGCAACATCAGTGAGACAGAAGAGATTGTCTCTGGGATAAAACATGCATGCAGACAGTTTGTGATGGTGTTACAGATGAATGGCAGTAGGTCTATGAGTCTATTGGAAGTGCCTAAATAAGACCTATGTCTCCTTGTCCCAATAGAAAATGAGCCCTCTGCCTATGACCTGCATTCCAGTGGTGGAGCACCACCTGTGGGGGGTTTCATCTACAGGGGCTGTCAGTCTAGGAGACTTTATGGCAGTTATGTCTTTGGAGATAAAAATGGGTAAGTACAATAAAGAAATGACTGATTAATATATTTAAACAGACTATTTAAGTAGCTGTATGTTTTTAAGAATTAACTGTGTTTACATGATGACAAAAATCTATATTTCAAAGTCATTCTAACATCTTTATCCTCCCAGAGTTGATTTATGACTTAGTAAGATCAACATGACTTTTCTTCTATTATTAAAAACTATTTCCTTTGCATTAGCATGTGCCAGTGTAAACACCAAGTTCATCCACATGGGAGGAAAACATAGACTCCCATGTCACCATGACAGCGCGGACCATTGAGTGTCAGTGGAGATTACACATTGTTCTCTGTGCTGTTCACACTTTTCTCTGGTTTCTCTGGTTTTCTCTGTTTTGCTGATGTCAAACACTGACAGTTGAGTAAACAAAGGGGGTAAAGTGTGTCCCCTCCCCAATCCGTCCAATTATCGCAAGCTGGCACCGTGTTTAAAACAATGTGTGGTCAGTTAATTCTGTGCCTTATTACAATTTGGGAGCATTTTGTTGTGGCAAAGTGAAGGCTCCGGCATGATGTTTGTTTTGAAACTAAAGGCTGACTTCCTAACTAACACCATGTGGGACATGGTGTAGAAAAAGAATATGGGTCATGAACCATGCTGTACCATGCTACTACAGTTGATTTCTTTTGCTTTCTCCCCTGTGCACAAATGTAGTACTAAACCTTTTACAGTATCATCCAGTCTGCAGTCACTTACCATGAGTATTTTTACTTTTCACTTTAGTAACCTTCGCATCCTTCAGAAGTCTACATCTTCCACATCAGCGAGTGGTGAAGAGTGGCAGGAAAAAGCTCTGTGCCTGGGCTCAGCTGACTCCTGTGGCACTATGCTTATTGGACACATCTTGGGTTTTGGAGAGGATGAACTGGGTTAGTATGGCAATTAATAAAAAAGCTAAAAATGTAATTGCTTCTGAGATCTTTTATCTTTGTTTCTTTTCTCTCTTGCACTGATCTTTCTTTAGATTTACACCTGACCTATGTTATGACATATTTTCTGAAGCAAGGGTTTTAATCCATGACTCCTTGAAGGCTTGTTGACTCTGTGTGTGTATGTCTGTGTGTACAGCACATACATACATAACACACATAACCACAGCATAAAACACCACTGAAAATCTGAAAACAGGCAGCATGGTGGCGTGATGGTTAGCACTGTTGCCTCACAACACCACTGTCTGGCCAAGGCCTTTCTGTGTGGAGTGTGCATGTGTTAGCCCTGCATCAGACTGGTGACCTGTCAAGGGTGTACCCTGCCTCTCGCCCTATGTTAGCTGAGATAGGCCCCCCACAACCCTGATAAAGATGCGACTGGATGGATGGATGATAAAGCCAACACGCCTCTCATTAAGTAGTCCAAACATCTTAGTTAGTTGTCATTTTTGTAGGACAGTCATAATCTTCCAAACCTCCTTAATTCACTGTGCCACCATGACATGTGTTAAGTGTTTCTCTGGGCAAGTTAAAGATTAAGTTAATATATGCAGAGTAACCTGAAATGAACTGACACAAGACAGTTTTATAAGTTCGATCCCCACCACACACTCAAAGAATTGTAAACCGTGAGCTCTGATGTTTCTGATTAAAATGAACACATGATGTAAATTGTTCGCCCAGCCATCAGAAATCTTTGATCACAGTTGTTGCCAGGTCTTGGAGTTATTGTTTGACGAGATATTTAAAGATTTCTGTATTCGATCAGGATTTGCAAGTGGTGCAAGAATTGCAGCGGGGGCCAGGCCTATGTCCCAAAAAAGAGGCCCCACAGACAGATGTTTACAATTTGTCCCCCTATGGAATTTTCTTGCAGGCTTGTTCCTCATTAAATCATCTGCCTGGTTCCCAGTCATGAGTATCCAATTGTCTCATTAAACTCTTTTTAAAAATCCATTGGCAAGTGCAGAAATGCAGAAGCCTGTGATACACTCATTTTCCTAAACCCCTCATGTCCTCCCCTTTCATTTTCTTGTGTTTCCTTGTCTTGTCTTGTCTCTTCTTTAGTTAGGCACTGGGATCTGCTGAATAGTTGTTCGGACATTGGAAGTATTTCATGCAGATGATGCTGATGGGATTCCCACTTAACTGTTCTTCTTTTGCAGGTGAAGTCTACATACTTGCAAGTAGTAAAAGCATGGTGCAGTCACACAGTGGGAAACTCTACAAGCTGGTGGACCCGAAAAGGTAAAAGCAGGAAGTCCCTTGGTAATTTGTGCTGGTATGTAGTTAGTTGTTCGGTGATTAAGTGATTCCTTCTTAGTGGGGAGGACATTCAGCTATTCATTAAAAAATCCTGCATTACGTCCACAAGAGGGCAAACCAAGACAATGAGAGACAAAACTACCGTACTGGTAAATCGCTCTCTCTTGAATTGAGTTTAGTTATAAACTCATTCCCCAAAGGTTGTAATTGAGTTATTCGTTCGAGTTAGTCTGAACAACATTTTCAGTAGCTTTAAGTGTTGATTGTGATTCCTGTCAACAACAACACAGATTATTTTCAGTATATTCAAGCAGGACAGCCGTTCCCAAGTATTGGAGAATTTGGGATTTTTTTTAGACAGCAATTATAATTGTTACCTTAGCATGTTATTAGCCTATTAGCCAATTCTTACCGTTAACTGTTTTAGGCATATTAACGCAGCTTTAAAAAGTTAAGGAGGTTAAAAAAATAAAAAAATACAAGCAAATAATTCAACAGTGTGAAGTTGTTTAACCGATATCATGAATTCATAATCACAGCTAAAGTTTGGAAAAATAATTCAGGAGGATGATATCTGAAAGGTGAAGCAGCAAACGCTGTACGTACTAAGGTTGTCACGATACTTGATTTTCCTTATACCCAGGAAAATATTCTAAATACTAGATACAATTTTTGAATTTTTGATTTTGATAAAAATTACACTTCCTCTTAGAACAATAAAACGAATAACATCAATGATGACAGCATTTTTAGGTTGCCAGACATAAAGAAAATACAGTAAGGTAAACATGTAAGGTTGGCTGAGGTCGCACTGCACTTTTCGTGACTTGGCACCATATTTTTTATTTTTGATCAAAAACAAAAGAAACACAATACTTTCTAGATGCAAATATTTGTGATATCATGGTAAATGAACTCATTGTATTAGGATTA